GAAATTACATTTGAAGATGTAAAGCACTCTTAAGTTCAACTAATTGCATTTAATATACATTTAAACTATAATACATTTTCATTTAATTGTAAATAACATGCATGAGTACTTCTTTTTCACAAGAGAAAAATAGCTGTGGATTTTAGCTTCTAAGTTACTTCAGAAGAAAATGTCTGGGAGATTTCTCATCTTATTTAATATCTTCAATCGTGCTTCCTCCACCTCTGTACTCTCATTCACTCTCATGGTCTCAGATCAGTAAGGCCACGACGCTGCAGAAGACGGCAGAGTACATCAGTAAGATGCAGCAGGAGAGAGCTCAGCTCCACGAGGAGGCCCAGAGACTCCGAGACGAGATCCTCACGCTCAACTCTGCCATCAAGTGAGTGCGTTTGAGCTGTTTTACAATGTGCTGGACATAGTTATGAGAGACATCTGCATGAGTGCGTGAGTGTGATTGTGATTGTATCTGAACTGTGTGTATGTACGTAGTGCGTGTCAGCAGCAGCTTCCGGCTACAGGCGTCCCAATAACACGACAGCGCTTCGACCACATGAGGGAGAAGTTCAGAGAGTATGTGAGAGCTCAGACGCTGCAGAACTGGAAGTTCTGGATCGTATCCAATCAAATCTGAAACAAAATTGCTGACCAACAGAGAAAGTCTTGTTGGTTAAGCAGCCCAGGTGAACTAGGTAAAACAGATATCACCATGCTTGCTACAGTTGATTAAAAAAGTTTTTGAAATGTTAAGTTTAAATGTTCAAATGATGCATTATTTAATTCAATATGCACTAAGTTGCACATATTTCCAGAAGAGAAATCTGAGCATAGGACAGGTTCAAAAGTATTTTCAGGTTTTTACGGAAGGGATTTTGGATATTTTTTTATCACTCCATAAATCACAAAATACTGTCAACAGCCAGAAGAAATAAATGTTCACGTTTTTAAGAATTACATTTAGTAGAAAATCAGTGTTAATTAAAGCAAATAAGGCCCAAGAAGCCGCAATCGCGACTCCGCTTTGCGTCGTGCCTAACAACGCCCCTTAGCTGTTATAAATTCACTGTAAACCACGGCTTCACGGGGCTTATTGCTTTTATAAAACGGTTATTCAATATACGTAGTAAGGTTTGTTTGTAGAGTAATTTACAACAGCTTCGAAAGTGGCTCAGCCAATCAGAATCAAGGACCGGAACTATCTGTTTTATAATATTTATGAACAAATACCTCTGTGAAGTTTGGTGTAAAACCAAAAAGTTTTGGATGCAAATAGATGATGTGTAATAAATTAAAAACATTTAAATTTGTATTTTGGAGGTTTTCTTTCTACTAATCGTCTGAAAGAAGATATGTGACCCTGGAGCACAAAACCAGTCATAAGGGTCAATTTTTCGAAATTGAGATTTATACACCATCTGGAAGCTGAATAAATGAGCTTTCCATTGATGTATGGTTTGTTAGGATAGGATAATATTTGGCCAAAATCTGGAATCTGAGGGTGCAAAAAAATCTAAATATTGAGAAAATCATCTTTAAAGTTGTCCAAATGAAGTTCGTAGCAATGCATATTAGTAATCAAAAATTACGTTTTGATATATTTACGGTAGGAAATATACAAAATATCTTCA